AGCCTGCCAGATTTGCGTCAAGACTTATTGCACGGGCTTTGAACTGTCTCCTTTTTGCATTACCAGTACGATCTAATTAAGGTTGTGATGGAAATTGAGTCAGGTACCCATACCATGAGCCAACGCTTTTGGAGGATGGTTGGGTATTGTGATTTGTTTTCTGTATCTTTTGATATTAAAGATATGTTCGTCTCCCTTCCGCATTCTGATATCATTGATGCGGCTTATTGGCTGGTTTCCTTTTTCGAAGATCGCGGTCACAAAGGGGTTAATGTCGCAAAGAGAGGCAAGAAGCCGTGGCTGTCCTACAGTGGCTCAAGGGAGGAATGTGGGCTTATCTCTTTGGAACAGATTAGGCTTATGGTTCGCTTTGACCTACATTTTACCTTCATTTCCTCAGCTGGTGTGCTACTTAGGCAGATTGTTGGGGTGCCTATCGGTAAATCTTCGAGTTGTCTTTCAGCTTGTATTCTTTGCTCCTGTGTGGAATGGAAGTTTCTGCGTGCTTTGGGTAATGAGAGATGCTTCGTAGAAGGGTTCCTCATTGTGGATGATGTGACTATTTTCATCGTCGTTACAAGGGTCATCGGGAGGGACATCACTTTATGTATCTTGGAACGTTTCATGCTCTGTTATGGGTCGTTCCTCAGATTGATCTGTACTAATGAATCCCATGCCTGTTGGACTTTTGCTGGTGTGACCATCCATAAGCATGGTGTCAATTTGAGGACGGTTGCTATCCTTAAGAATGCAACATCCGTTTGGGAAATCGGCGATTTGACCTTTGTGTGCTTTCAGGACTGTCTCTTACTCTAGTAAGAAAGCAAAAATTGGAGTTATTATCAGTACTTTGCACCGGGTGTTTTGCCTTACCTCAGATGTCTGGGGACAGCATGAGGTTCTTCTGGGAGTACAGCAGGAACTGTTCCACCGTGGTTATCCACGACGTTTGGTAACCTCATCCTTTCGAGGCTTTCGAACCAAATTCGGGGGTTCGATTGCCGAGGTAGTAGCAACATGCGTGTGATTTGGGGTTTGGCCTGTTTGCTAAACAGGCCCTCTATGGGCCTTGTATACTATGTCATCGATGCTCGGGATTTTTCCCGGCACACTGGGCTTTGTTTGATGGGTCTATCTTTTGTTATTTGACTGGGTCGCTTTTGGACACAGCTGCAACAATAGGGGAAGCTTTCGACGTTTTTTGCATAGGGTTTTTTTTTGCGGATACCCGTTACTGACAGGGTATTACCCTGGTACCTGGGTATGATATTATTTAGGTCCCCGTACCTGACCGCTTTTACTGCATAGTTCAGCGAATTTGCTGCGGTTGTACGATCTGGGTTATGGTACCTAGAGTGGACTGGTTGTGGCTTTAGTTCTTTTTCCCGCGGACATGCGTTTTGTGCCCACGATCGGTCCCTGACAATGCTTTGGCAGTGTACTGTTTTTGGTACACCTAAAGCTCTTGTTGGGCTCCTGCGTGGGACCTCGAGTCACGAATTCTGTATTAACATGGGCAGTTGCCTGAACTTCTCCTTTCATTCTAATTTAGAACGTGCGTCGACGGTTGTAGCGCAAGGGAAGGCGACGCTCTGGGCATCGGTGATATCCTTTGTCTTCAGAAGACTTGTGTGCCCCTCTAACGGTGTACTGTTGTACTCGCCCGCCTGGCGCTTCTACGGCATCCAGCGACGTGCATCTCTATTCCGAGGATGGCATCCAGTTTGATGACTTTGCTTTGGCTGTGTTGTGATTTCTCTGTTGTCTTGTTTGTCTGTGTGGCAGGTGTCTCCCTTCACTATGATCAGGCAGTATGACGAGTGGCGGCCCTCTCCTTGTGACGATTTTTGGGACATCTAGGGCTGCTCTGCATAAACATCTCTTTTCTCGACGACTTCTCTCTTTCCGACTGGCTGTGATTGCTTTCGTTTTCAGTTGCGTTGGTGCGAGGATGATGGGTAGATTGGGAATAGGCTAGCTATATATAGGGGCAAGGCATGGGTATGGCCCCTATCAATAGTATGATGACATCTTGTGTTCTGTCCTCCTGAAGAGTCTATGTGCGGGATAGACGAAACAGGTCGAGGGTTGGCCACGTGGTCTGTGGATTGTATTTTGCTGTATTCAGCTTCATGTTACTACTCCACCCAAAAATTGTTTTTGTTTTTTGTTTTTTTCCTTGAGGGGGTGGGGTTGGGGTTGCGCCGCCCCATGGCGGTTCCCGAATCCCCAACCCCCCTCCCCACCGGCCGCCACGCGTCCACGAAGTCGTGCGGCCACGCGGAAGCGTCCGCGGGGTCGTGGACTCGGCCGCGGCCGCGGACTTCGCCGCGCTTGTCCGCCGCCGAGGGGGATTCACTGCCCAAACAAACAATTTTTTTTCTTGTTTTTTACTTCGGGGGGGTAGCCCCTGGCATGCACCCCACTCCCCGTCCCCCCCCTCACGTGTCAGAAGCCCCCGGGAAGGTTGCCTAAACGGTTCATACGGCCGCCTAGGGGCCCGTACGTAGGGTCGTATGGGCCATACGGACGCCCCGTATTTGTACGGGGTGTCACACAGGTTGGAGATTTATGATGGTGCCAGAAATTGAGTGTGGGTGGCAGCCAGGCCCAGGCTTGAGGGTGATTATGTTCACATGGTCATAGCCACATTTATTTCGACATTGATGGGAATGTGGGCTAGGAGGAGGAGGATCTGGACTGTGAGAGTGGTGTGAGTGATGAGGAGACGCTTACCTGGACATACCCGTGACGACGCTTGTGTTTTGCTGCTCCTTTGGGAGATCTGCGCCATCCTCCTTGACTGCTGCTGACATGGCTGGAGGATGGGCGACCTGTTGTGAGCTGTTCATTGTGTATGTCAGAGATCGTCAGGGGAGAACTGTATTGCTGACATGGCATGTGGGGGGGAAATGCCCGAGAAGAAACTGGGCTTGACCGAGGAATTCTGCTTCGTCGAGTCGTGTGGAAACTCTCCCCCTCCTCCTCTTAGTCTCTTCTCGCTCTGTCCTCATCTCTTCTCTGAGTTCAAGACATTCGGAGACCGCATGTATTAACATGTTATTCGTTAAAATAGGACATTATACTGTGTCCTCTTTCTAACGAATTCATTTTTGACTGCATTCCAAGCAATGTAGACACGTCAATCCACGGCTTAAGCACATGCAGAAGTGTGTTGAGATCTGTACTTGTGAAACTTTATAAATGATATCCCAAATGAGGAAGCGTGTTCAAATCCGTACATGTTAGGCACGCCGCACGGGAACCTTGCGTGGAAGTGTACTGGGATCCTTACTTGCTGAACTTCAAAAACATGGCACTGCTAGGAATCCTGTGCGGAAGTGTGCTGGGATCCGTACTTGTTAAACTTCATAAACGAATAACGACAGGCACGCCCATCAGGGAACCCTGTGCGGAAGTGTGCTGGGAGCCTTACTTGTTGAACTTCAGAAATGTGTCGTGAATCTTGTGCCGAAGTGTGTCGGGATCCGCACTTGTAAAACTTCATAAACGAATAACGACACGCAAGCGCATCAGGGAACCCTGTGCGAAAGTGTGCTAGGATCCGTACTTGTTAAACTTCAATTCCATAATTGTGATAAGCAATGTGTCATGATTGCATCCTCGTTGGATAATTATATTAGACGACGTAGAGTAGCGACAGGCATGCCCATCCGGGATGCATGTGCGATAGTGTGTCGGGAGCCACACTTGTCAAACTTCAAGTTTGTGAATGTGATGAGCAAGGTGTCATGATTGAATCCTTGTTGGATAATACTATTTTTTTTTTTTATTCGTGAGTTGTACATGCATGGCTATCGTCTCGTCCGAGGCGGTTGTCTGGATGTTGTAGAGATTAAGACTTCTTTAGAAGTACAAACAGTAACTGTTATTTTTGACATACAATTTATTTTTCCCGGTCAAGAACGCAAAATTGTCGGTCACATGTAATTCAGGCGGTCACAAGTACATGATTGTCTATGCACACAAGAGACGTGATGTCACTGGTCTTTCACTCTTTGCATAACGAACCTCACACCCACACACTGGCCGAGATTTGTCTTGCATCCACACTCCAATTCGTCATATCGCACCACACACACGAATATCATTTCGAGGTGAATTATATGCACAACTTTGGATGACCTGGACACAATTTGCAACGAGGACTGCAATGCGATGAATGTAATAACACGACAGACGAGCCGGACCTGACAGAGATTCCGAATGCAATACGCGACACCAAACTGGCAGTCAACATACCAAAGACAACTCAAACTTGCAACACTGAAAGAAAGTAATGTCGTTGTGAAAGCCACAATTAAAATATGAAATATTCTGAAACGGAAGTTTGCAAATCAATCGAATCCATCAAAGACAACGGCATTCCAAGATACATGATGTCAGTTGTCGTCCAATATACGGAATATTTGTACAAGAGAACCTGAAAGGCGGTCGATCGCCACGTTGCAACAGTGTCGCAAACATCAACATAAACATTCCGCAACTAACTTCATCCACTTGTCTTGGAACTCCCTCTATAACAACATTTGCTGCCACCGACTTCCAGCGCCTGCACGACCGCCTATGTGATGTTTGACATTCCAAATAGTATGCGATCAACTCGAAAACACTAAGGTAAAAACAAGAATGGGCTACAACGCAAGGAAAAGAATCGAAAATCTCAAGAACATTATCTCTCAAGCTCACGGAAAGGAGGATCCAGTGATCATTATCTTTAAGGACTGGAACAAAGATAATATCATATTCAAGCAGATCCACGTTTTGAGCCCATCTTTCCACCCCGCCGTGCCCTTGAAGTTGCAGTTTACTGAAGAAGAAAGAATTAAAGGTGAAGACTCGAAGGCCTGGCGGGATGTCACTTGTCCCATATGCGGTCGTTCCTAATAGCGCCATGTAGAAGTTGACCACCTCATCATTCACCCTGCCGTCGGTAAGTGAGAGTGTGAGAATATCCTTCGCTGCAATTCGCAACTGACCATCGCGGAGGGTCGAGAGTACAGTGTCAGGTGGCACCAAGCCTCGTTCAATGTCGTCCAAAACCCGCAAGCTTCCAATCGCAGTCACTGCTATTCCAGGTGTCGTGGCCCGCACTGCACAACATCGAGCAAAGGACAGGGGGGGAAGTGAGAAACGGAACACTAAGGATTCTCCTACATCGCACGACGAGTAGCTAAGTATTTCTCATACATGGTCTGACCCCTAGTCACAGATCGTGGATATGTCCCTTTCTCTAAGGGAAGAAGGGAAAGACACTCCTCAATGGCAATGGCATGCTCCTTCTTCCCGATTTCGACATCAACCCCTGACGCCTTTAACATGTCCTTGTGTTTTGTCGTCGACCCCAGGACTATATGCAATATGTGTTCCGGATATTTAGAGGGCCTCCGTGTTCGAGACGACCCTACCCCTGTACAACAGAAGAAAGACAAAACGAAAAGGGAATATACGTTTCCGAAGAAGAACCCGACGAAACGACAATTAAAGGACCACGAAATCTAAAAGACGCAGGACCCATGCAATTACAGAACCCCGTCATGCCATGAGAGTGCGAGAGAGAGAACTTCCGCACGAGCCACGTTGCAAAACAAAACGAGCAGTGCACTCGAGCTCGACACCCCCGCCCTTCAGAAGGGAAAAGCACATCAAGTCACAGAAGCGGAAGGSAAACATCTCTGAASTCCGGATCCCGGYGGACTTTTCCAACCCAGGAAGATGACCCAACCCCTGTGCAACCGAAGGAAGAGAAAACGGAAAATGAACTCACGTAATCCAAGACGAATCCGACGAAAACGACAACTCAAGAACCACGAAATGTAGAAGACGCAGCACCTATCTATTTACAGAGCCCCGTTTAGCCAGGATAGAGATAGATAATACTTCCGCGCAGGCCCCGCTGGAAAACAAAAGGAGCAGTGCGTTCGATCTCGACACCCCCGCCCTTCAGAAGGGAAAACCTCAACAAGCCACAAACCTGGAGGCCAAACATTTGTGAAGTCAGGATCCCGGCGGACTTTTCCCAATCGAGGCACCAAAATAGTAACCGCGTTACGCAGCGGCCTTGGCAGTGTGCATCCCGGCGGACTAAAACCACCACTCATTTGAAAAAGAAACACCATCCTTCCATTATGTGAGGGAACGCTTCAACAAAAACATACATGTTTTTGTCTCGTACGCCCTGCACACGACCAGTGACCTGGCCGACTCACAGGATGGTCGCTGTAGCATGCCGGCATCCGGAACTCCCCGCATCGACAGACACTGCGGTCCCTCGCGCGCAGACAGAGTGGCGTTTGTCACTGCTTACCAGCTGGTTTGTCTCTCCTGTCCTTAATCGGCGAAGTTGGCGCGGGCAAGGCCAGCACGTCGAGAGCTTGAGTGCCGGCGACAGTTTTTTTCAGGGATGTGACATCTTGTCGTCCCCCGATCCCGCCTTCTCCTCCGCTGGCGATGGTCGGCGGCAGCATCGGAGAGTTCGTCGGCGAGAAATCGACGACAGATCCCTCGGAAGGTTTGGCGTCGAGAGGGTCGTCGACACCAGGCGTCGAGGACGACTGCGCGGACATGTGGTGGTCGCCCAGGATGCCGTCGATAACTTCTTCGATGTCAATACGCACACTCGGCTTAGTCAGGCAGACTGCTACACGAGCTTCATTAAACCGGTGTTGGAGATCGACGGCTGACGTCATTGCTTCGACATCATAGTCATCACGTTCTGCCGAAAGGCTTGTGACCACCTGTGTCTCCATACCCAGTGCCGTGTCATCGTCGTCGTCGTCTTCCTCGCGGTGTTCTCCGTATAGCTGCCCGAATCCGTCAGACGACTCCCCAGATCTGTCATCATCGTCGCCGAAAGTCCATTCGTCGTCTTCTGTATCGAGTTCACCTTCTTCCCCCTCCTGCCCTCCTAGCAACCCAGCCAACTCCGTTTCTTCCCCTTCCTCTCCTTCATCCTCTTCTTCCTCCCCTTCATCCCCTCCTTCCTCCAATTCCTCCCTTGTGTCTCCTTCCTCCACTTCCTTCTCTTTTTCCATCACCCTGCCTTCTTCCTCTGCATGAAATGCAGCCACTTCGCCCGAACCCGTGTCGATTTTCGACAAATGCGCTTCCCGCCCGCCGCACGCAGCCCCTCCCGCCTGCACCAATATCCCTGGTTGGCACCCCTTGCCTGAAGATGTTCGGATTCCGGCGAACTTCGCCGTCTCCTTGTCGCCGGGCCCTCCACACGCCTTGCCTGAAGAAGTTCGGATCCCAGCGAACTTCGTCGTCTCCCTGTCGCCGGGCCCTCCACACGCTCTGCCTGAAGAAGTTCGGATCCCGGCGAAGTTCGTCAACTTCCTGTCGCCGGGCCCTCCACACACACCCTCTCGCTCCGACCGAAGCGGTTGGCGATCCCCCGCGGGCGGCGAAGTCCCGTCCCTCACCGCACCGCTGTCTATTTTGGGATGACGACTCGCCACCCCCGGTCCTGACCAGCTCTGCGCGTCCGTCCTCTTTGTCCGCTCTGCAAGCATTGAAGTTCGGATACCGGCGGACTTGAACGTTTCGACCGAGCCGGCACGGAGAGCAACCAAGGCCGCCATCACGGAGAAGGCGGATAAACTGGGCACGTCCGCCGACAGTGCCGATCCTTCCCGCCTGGGACCGGTAGACTACTGACGCGGCCTCCCCCGCCACCCCGCCGCTGCCTTCCGCTGTCGTGGTGTCGCCCTGAGACCTGCCCTCAGCCTCGTCGCCCTCGTGTTGTCGCCCCGGAACTCGTTTGCCGCCCCCAGCCTCGTCGCCCTCGTTCTCCCCACCGTCTGGTCCCCGGGACCCTGTACTTACATGCGTCTCACTGGGAGGGGGGATTTTCCAGCCCACCCTTCCTTTCGAGGGGCTCGTGTCGAGGTCGTAGTAGTCCTCCGTTAGCTCCAACCACCACTTGTCCTGAAGTTCGGCGAACAATCGCCCGACTGTGGAAATGACGGACACGTCTTCGGGTGCGAAAGAGTCATTCTCGGCCCTCACTTTCTGGAGGACCGCAATTCTAGCGACGTCGAGGAAGTCAAACTTCGACCCGCGAGGGAGTGGCATCCATCCTCCGTCCGGGACAACGACCACCACGATCCACTCACCCTTTTGGATCGCCGGCTGGATGACTCCTGGATGCCAAATCATGTCATGGCCCCAGTCCGCCTCCGTGGAACGACTTTGAGGCTCAGGCAGGAAGTGAATGTTGGCATTCGTCCAAGACAGATGATCGGGCGGGATGTCAGACCCGGGACCCAGTGAGCGATGGCCGGAAGCCAGAGCTTGCATTCTCTGCAGCAACTTCATCGGGGTAGTGCCAGGCGCCGGTTTCGCCATCGGTGACACGAGGGATGTTGGGCTTGTCGACGGACCTGCGAAGGACGACCCTGTAGCGTGCTACGCAGAATGTTGGTCGTACTGCAGGTCGAGGCTTTCGGTGTCCCTACCCTCCTCATCTGCGGTCGCGACGAACTCGATGCCGGTGGTCTCCTCGTCTTCCGTGGAGATCAAGGAGGAGTAACTGCCGAACGTCAGCTCCTCCTCTAACTCCACGAAGTAAAGGGACTGCAACCTCTCGAGGAAGGTCTTCGCATTCATGAGGGAGGCGCCGTGGTAGTTGTCGAGCAACGTGAACATGTGGTCCTTGCGGTGCACGCACTCGGCGTCAGTGTCTCTCTTCAGCCGCGTTTGCAGGAACAAGAAGTCGTATATCTTGTTCCGCTTCCTCGCACTCAACTTGAACCACATGTCCGTCTTGTTGTTCCACGCGCGAGCTCGAGTCTCGGTGAYGACCATGAACTCGCAATTGTGGGCACCCGAATTGACCTCGCTTTTGACGAGATCAATTGTAAATTRCAAGGGCTCGGAGTTCCCTTCCATCGCGATGACGTGCCGTCCTGCCTTCAGTACTTCCCAGACTGACCRCGCGTGTGGCTTCCCGAGGAAGACGACACCCTCCCCCTTCTTGGTGACGGATTCGAGAAGCTGAACGAATTGCGCGGGGTTGCGTTCCATGTCCCCGTACACACTGCCCCGACGTGCAGGCGAGGTATGCGACCAGTCGCAAGGGTTGAACGGGATGTCGGACTCATCCGTTTGCGTAACTCTCTGTGGTACCCGCACTGCAGCAGCGGCGCCTGCCGGCAGTTTCCCCTCGTAGACGACGGACGTGTTGGCCCGCAAATCGTCGCCTTTGAAGAGTATGTACATCCGGTCGTCTTCCGTGTACAAATTGTTCCCGACGGGGAAGCTTTTCTTTCGTTGACTCCTCCTCACCCACTTCCGTTCCAGCAGTTTGATGAAAGAAAGATGGTTCATGCTGGCCAGAAATGAGAGGTTCTGCTGCCGCGGGACAAAAACAACGAGCGTCTAATGCGACGGACACCACGTCTGGAGTTGGGAATCCAGAGTGTCGAACGCTTGCGGTTTCCAAAGCTTCAGGTCCAGCGGTTCGCACAGATCGAGGACGAACGTGTGACTCTTTGTGGCAACCACTGCCTCCTTCACCTACGCACTCCTTATGTCTGCCTCCAAGGGGTCGTTGCCGAATAGCGCGATGGATGTCACGTCGCCCGTGTCATTCCATTTTATGTGCACAATGCCTTCGGCCAGCGCGATCTCTCGACTCTTCAGTCTACTGCCAGTCAACACGGACAGGACCTTATTCCTCCAGTCGACGGACAACTTTTTGTGACCGGCCAGCTTCTCCGTCGCCTCGATCGATTTGTCGTCGTCGCAGCCCATCTAGGGCGGGCAGTCCTTGAACAGCGAGGAGTCAGTGACGTATTTCGTGCTCCCGTCCCACAACTCAGCATCCAAACCACGACTCTCAAACTGTCTGAAAATTGCGGACCTTGATTTCAGGAACGGGAACCTCTGGCTCCAATCCGCGTCCGGCCTTTTGTCGTGCTTGAACTGGTAGTAGTTCCACAGACGCACCAGCACCCGGTTGCACTTCACCAAATTCACCACCTCCTCGACGCTCAGCTTTCCGAGCTTCGCGAACGCTGGGGAGCCGACCTGTACCCAAACCACCTCGCAAGCGAGCACCTTCTTCAGGACGCGGCACTTCTCGTTGTCTGTCAGCGACTCCATCATTTTCCAACAATGCGCGTCTGGCTCTAGCACTTGCACGAAGCACTCGCCCTCATCTTTCTCCTTTTTGCCTTTCTTTGTCGGCGGGTCTACAGGGACGTTGTACACGACCTCCTTTCTGCCCAGCTTGTCATTATGGATGTATGCAACCCCAGGCTTCACGTTTTTTACTTTCTTCTTCCACATGATCCACTTTGCGCCGTCGTGTCCGAGCAATCTGCCTGTCTCCCATTTCTCAAAAAACTCGACGGCCAGTTTTTAGACGTTCTCCCCTGCCATCGCCAGCGGGAAATAGGAACGCAGGGCAGCGCCTTGTTTCCTGATGGCCTCCTCGCCCTGTTGATCTGCGAGAATCCACAAGTTGTTGTGCGGTGTCATGTTGAGTGCGACATTACAAAATTCACGCCACTTCCGGACCTGATCATGTTTTCCGCTGGGGTTCCCCATAACAGCACGCGGGCAACCGGCGCGCTTCCACTGCCGCCTAATGTCCCTCATTGACAGCTTCAGCTGTCGTGGGGGCGCCTTCATGTCCTTCTTGTTGTCCTGGGAACTGACAAGGAAGTACCCTTCGAAGTCGTCGTCCGAAAAGTAGACCATTTGTGCAGGCCACCGCTCGAAATTGTATTTCCTGGCCACCTCGCTGCAGCCGCGTTGTGCTGCCCACACACCGCGTAGTAGTAGTATTGTCCCGCCAGCTCATCCCTCCAATCCTCCGGCCTCAGAGGTTCTGCCTTGGTCCCCGGAGTCGGTTTATCAAGCCCCAGCGGCGCCAACTTCAGGGTGGGTACATCGTAAGACTGCGCTTTGTTTTCGAACGCCAACCACATCGCTTCTTTGATCCCTTCCACGAGCACGGGATCCAGGGACCGCTGGTTGTACAGGTCCTCCCAGTCCCCGAGGTCGACGACCTGCGCAGGGCTAATGTCGAACTCCCGCTTTGTCCGAACGCCGTCTTTGTACTCGAGGAAGTACCCGGCATCGACGTCGATGGGAGTCCCTGTTGTCGGTGGAGAAGACGGTCCAGACTCAGGCTGCTTCTGTCTCGAAGACGGTCGTTTGGCAACCTGCCGGCCCTGCTCCCCCTCGGTCCCCTTCCGGTTCTCCCCCACAGTCCTGGGGGCCTTGCTCTTTAACTTCTTCATAGAACCGGCGAACTCGTCTGGACGATTCCCCCTCCTCTTTTGCGGAGCTCCTTGCGAGCCCAGATCTCCTGCGTCCACCTCCTCCACACCCTGTCCCTCGCTCGCGTCCAAGTCGACCTTCGAATAGGCCGCCACCTGTACTGAAGGCCCCGTACTCTTCCGCTGAACCGGAGCATCAGTCTGAACCCCAGGAATAGACAACACAGACCGCCGCGTGTCACTCAATGGCGGAGAAGTCCCCTCATCCTCGCTGTCGTCGAACTGACCTTGGCTCTCGCCACGGTGCAGCTGAGTGGCGGGACCAGAACCCAGATCACCGCCCTTCGCCGCTGCCCTGCTTGACTCGCAACCGCTGCACAGCTTCAACGGCAACGACAGCTCCAGGGATGGGTTGACGTCGCAGGGGACATATAGAGCGATGTTTTTGTCCTCCAACATGTTGAAAAATTCACGCGCCAAAACAAAACCGCCCCCCAGAACAAGTTCTCTGTACAACGGGGTGTTCACAGCACCCGCTCCGAACCCCTCACACAATTCGAGGTCCAACAACGTCCCTTTCGAATTGGCAACGACGTTGCTCTTGGCGCCATAAACTTTTTGCATATAGAAATGTCGCCGGCCCCCCTTTGTGTCCTCCCACCGCAAGACGGCACCAAGCACTCTACGCCTTCTGCTGTCATCGATGAAGATGACAGGACCACATGGCTGCGCAGTGGGGTTGGAAGCGTCTCCACAGCACCAGTCGATGAACCATTTCGACCTCGAATGGTTCGACCACCCTTGCGTGGCAGTAGACGACCTCCTCGTGGAATCTTTTCGTGATTCCTTCCCGGAGGTCCCTGTTGGCTCCACCTCGCCCGTGGAAGAAGACATACTGTCTGCGAACGACAACGCAAATCGAACAACACACCATGAAGTCAACGTCTGTCAAAACAGAGGAGAAACAGAACACTCGCTGTTGCACGTCAACGCAGGCTGTAGCGCAGCGAAAACCGCACACGAAGACATCCGGGCACCCAAATCCTGAGCGGTAAGAAGGGGTAGTCTGCCGGGATCCGAACTTCATGTGGGCAAGAGACCGAGAGGCAGACAGAGAGAGAGAGAAGCAAGTGAAAACTCGCAGTGCGCATGGGATCACGCGCTGTTTATGTGGCACACGGGGCACCCCGAAGAACAAAGATTGACAAACGCACAGTGAAAATCGCGAAGTCCGTCGGGATCCGAACTAAAGGACGGTGCGTGAGATAGAGACGGCGGAATCAGATTTCGGGAATTTTTCGCAGGAATCAACTGGCGGTCATGTTCGAAGCTCGCGCTCGACGGGGTAGTGTTCCCCGCGTGGCACTCAGAACCCCCGACAGTCCAACAGCCGAAGCTCGCCGGGATCCAAACTAGAACAGGGTGCGAGAGACATACAGAGAGCCAGCCATGCAGCCAGCGTCCCAGAACCGTGCTCGACCAAACGCACTCTGGAACCGTTGCCGGGCGGGTTGTGCGACCCACCCGGAACCACGAAGACTCAAGACAAAGCAACGCACCTCCCGAAACGTGAAGTTCGCCGGGATCCGAACTTCAGGACGATTCGACAGGCAAAAACGGCGCCAGGGACACACGATCCGCAAGTCTTAGGTTGTTAAACTCAACCCCGACCCAGAAGGCCACACCGGAATGAAAGGCTGGTTGAAATGGAGAAGTCCGCCCTAATCCGAACTACTTCTGATTTCCAATCTCACGTTATGCACAACTTGGCACTGGATGAACCCAAGCTCGAAAGCGGCAGCCGTGTCAACATTTCATAGGTCCTTGGACTCTGGCTGTTGCCGCAATCCACGAGGGATCCGGAAGACCACCGTCTGTAGCAATAGACAGGCGACTCCTGAAGTTCGCCAGGATCCGAACTTCAGGAGGATGCGAGAAAGAAAGACAGAGAGAAACATTGGAGCAACTCCGAGTCCAAACGCAAGACGGGGTTCGACCAAGGCGCACGAGGAAAAACCCCGGGTTTCCACAGCCGACCGCAGGTTTTGATGGCATCAGTCATTGAGTCCAGGCGTAATTGGTAGCAGGACCGTTTTCGACTCTGCCCAGCACTCGAAGCTCGGAGGCCGGTAGGACTCATTGGCCAAACCGCGAAGTTCACCGGGATCCGAACTTCAAGAGGGCGCGACACGGAAAGAGACGGCGTGCACTAGCAACTGCTGCCTCCCGCGCCTTTCTCCACTACTAAAACTCTGCCATGTTCGGCAGCACATAAGCCTCTCACTCATCTCCCTTCTTTTCGCTTAAGCAGGATGTCCAACCACACGTCCAAATCTTGTGACAATCGCGGTTCCCCGGGGACGAGGTCGCGAACCGTAGCCATACAAAGCATTCATTGACGATCCGTAAACGCGGACCAGCGGATCGTCGACCGTTGCAGT